TTTTAAGAAAGATTTTATTGGGGAATTGGGGGAGTGGAACAGATAAGTTGCTGTCCTTTTGTTCTTCAGTCTAGTTGTGGAGGACATCACTTCACTGGCCCAAGTTGACACCATCATTGCGCTCTTCCCGGGTGAGGCAGTCGCTTGCTGGCCATTGGGTGGCAGCTCATGGCAGCTCACGCTGGCTGCCAGCCACACACGGTAGCTTACGGCTGCCCACTGCAGCTCCACTGCAGCCTACACCGTTGTCGGCAATTCACAGGAGCCCAGCTCCAGGTTGAGCTGTTGTTCACCATCTTAGCTGTAGAGGACGCAGTGTCACTGGCCCTAATGTGAGATCTGAACCGGGGCCCTGCTGCTCAGAGCTGGCATCCTAAGCTAACTTAACCAACGCGCCACTCAGCCGGCCCCTCCTCATACATTTTTGATTGTTGACATTTATAGGTTTCAAAAGCTGTCTTTAGTATTGTATTAAGAGTAATGGAATCAAAGGGTCTGGGTTTGTAGTCCATGTTTTTTACTTACTAGCTGTATAATTAAACAAATTGGAATTGTGAAGATTAAATAAGGTAACATGTGAAAACCCTTTGTAAACTGGGAAGTTCTCCATGCTTTTTTCAAGTTCAGGATTTTTATTTTTTTAAATATCAGAATATATTAATTTTTAAGCATTTTTTTTGCCTACATAAAATAAACTTGGTTGTGAGCCTGTCTCTTTCAGATTACTCCTAAAAAAACTCACATGACCCTGTTCCTAAAAAATCGTGGCTGTCTGATTTAGTCTGACTTCTTAGATCAAATCAATAAATCTAAAGTATTTTATCACCAAGGATTTTTAGATTGATTTTATATGTGGTTTATGTGGGCCAGGAAGTGATATATCACTCTTTCAGATGTAAAAATTTGATCGTATTACTCTAAATTATTGTAAGTACATACATATTTTTAATAAATTGTTGAATGCACCTTTATTATCTTTATCCTTTTCCTCTGATAACATTTTTGACAAGTATATTACTGAATTATGTGTTCTTGGTTATTTTGTTTTTCTTGTATACTCTTAGTAATTAGCATTTAGAGGGTTACACTTTATAATATATATTGTAAAAGTTTTGGGGTTGTGGGGTCTTAAATACCATCAAAATGTAATAGCCATAAGATACATCTATATATTATCCCATTTTCTCTTGAGTAAACATTGGGAAAAAATTAACATTTGAAGTTTCTATAGCTCTGCATATAATGAATTCTTTGGCTTTGACTTTCATTTAGTACCTTGTCGATGGAATCAGTTACTTGCTACAGATGCTAAATTATCGGTGTCCTATCCAATTAAATGAAGGAGTTTCTTTCCAAGACCTAGACACAGCTAAGTTACTGAGTGAAGGTAATGTGATCTCTTTTTGAAGTTTTTGTTTTTAAAGCTTTTTAAAATTTTCTGAAGTTTATTATATTTCACTGTGATTTAATTTCAAGTTACATTGTAGACAAAAATACTAAAACAGCTTTTAAAGATTCAAAGATCTCATGTAATATAGAAAAATACTGCTAACCTCTGTTTGTAATTTTGGGAGAGTTATATAGCATGTTACTTTTACTTATTTTGCATCTCCACATGGCCCCAATCAGGTACTAGGTTCCACTACTCATAACAGAAACCAGAAGTAAAGTTTGAACAAGATAGAACTTGACTGCTCTTTCACATTAAAAAGGTCCAAGAGTTGTGCAACATGCATCGCTGTGGGGCTATTGCTGCCATTCTCTGTATCCCAGGATGCTCCTGGAGTTCCTTCTATCGCACCTCTGTTTCAGTCTGTAGGAATGGCAGAGGATGTTTCTTTCACCCAAGTCTGCTCCTTCGGAGCAACCTCCTCAGAAGTTTCTTACAACACATACAACTTCCACCTACATTTCACTGGCCAGAATTTAATCACATGGATTCATGTAGCTACAAAGGGAACCTGGAGAGTATAGCCTTTGACCTGATACATTGTCATCCCAAATAAAATTCAGTCTCCTTACTTAAAAAAAAAAAGATGGGGGGAGAGAATGAATATTGGGTGGCAACTGTTAGTTTCTGCCACAAACATCTATGCACTTTAAAATGTTAAGAAGTGGGTATAGAGCATCATCTGGGTTTTAGACTGAGGTGCGGGAGGGAAGAACCACTTATTTTTTACCATCTCTTTTTACAAATGGAGGAACTGAGGTCCTGATAAACCAGATGAACTGTTCAAGGTGACATAACTGGTAAATGATGTACATGATCATGCATGTAATCTTTCTTTTATACTTCATCTGAAATTTTGATGGAAAAAAATCAAATATGGGAAAAAGAAGAAAGTTTTTTATAGAAAATTCTATATTTAAATAACATTCTAAGTATGTTTTAATTATTCGTCCTCTGTTAGCTCCTATAGGCTTTTCCTATCTATTCAAAAACATTGCATAGAAAAAAAGCAGGATTTAAGGGTCATTGGCATATGACTGGCTAGTGGTGTCCAAAAATTGTTACTTTCAGTTAATTCAGGCAAATAGTGTGTCCTAAAAAAGCTTATTGTGAATGCAAAGTGCTCCTTCAGTAGGCATGACATTTTGACAAACATGGGGTGTTTTGATTTTATTTATGGAAGTATTTATTCCAGGTAACTAGTGAACTGACTAACTGAATTGAAAATGGCCTTTCTAAAATCTCCTTACCCTCCCACATGGATTGGTTTAAAAGAAAAAGCAGGGATGGGCACTAAAGCCTGCTTAGATAGAACCAAAGGAAGTGGCGCAGATCACCGATTTCCCTTCTCCCATTTCTAGTCATAAAGTAAGATATTCTCACAGCCTGAAGCTTTTTCTTCAAAATGCACGTGATACTGGTGTCTCCTCTTAGATCATAATTTGATTGCACTAGCCCCTTCTACTACTGCTTCTACAACAAGGGAATCAAAGGGGACAGATAAGGTCCCTTTTTTCCAGAAAAAAAGAAAACAATATTAGTTCCATAGCAGTTTTGTCACGGTGCTTAATCCTCTTTTGCTGTCATCTTGCTCTCATCTAAAGCAGTTTGCTCCTCTGTAATTCATCTCTGTCAAGATGATTAGAAGCCAGGAAGCCTACTTTTGATAGACTAAATTACTCCTAAGACACTGTCAGAGCCATCTAGTTATGTTTTCATTTTTTTGTTAACCAATATGAAACATAATTCTGAAGAATCCTCAATACTCATTAGGGAAGAAAGTTCTGTATGAGTCATCAAAATATTTTTGTGGCCAGATCTTAATGATAATTCACCTAATTTTAGATAAAACTCCTAACAGTGTATACTTAGTAAGACTTTTTTTTCTTTTTCCATGGTAAAATAATCATATTGTCCCTTGAACACTATCTGTATGCCATTAAATTTTCATCTTTACAAAATTACCAAGCAATGTATTCGTTTTACCTCTTTACCTTATCTCTGAGCCTCATTCCTCTGTGGGCCCTTATAAAAATAACCTTGTTAGAATAACCCTGGAGTTAAATAGGTTAAATCAAAATACTGTTGAGCTTTGCACACCCTTGGTTTATGCCCTTTGTATACCACTGAGGACCACTCCCTTCCAGCTGCCCTTTGGCCAGCTGCTTAACCCAGAAACTGGACTTCAGATCCCCTAAAGGAACAGCTCTAAACTGGTATCACTGATTGCCTGGGTAGCTTATTCAAAACACAGATTCTGTGTACAAGCTGCAGGTTCTGATTCAATATATGGAGCCTAGGAATCTATTTGGAATAAGCTCATAATTATGATGCAGGCAGATACAGACCTCACTACTTCTAGGGGATAATGTGGTGGCCATCTTTTTTCTGTGAAAGCCATCTTTCTGCCCTCACTCTCTTCTTGGGTTATTCTTCCTCTCAATCCCTGCCTCCCCCCACTATCACATGTATGTTTACCAAGGACATGCACAGTATAAAGTGAAGTATTTTATTGAAAACCATGCTGAGCATTAACAGAAAAAAGAAAATAGCAAGGAAAATTTACAGCAGCACAAAGACTATAGCTACAGGGTAGTAGATTCCTTGGGGGATAGGGAGCAAGAAAGTGCCTGATTGTTACGTTGTTCATCCTTTTAATGCAGGATATTTGAATGCAGTAGCTTAGTGTAGGCTATGGACCAGCAGCAGCAGCATCACCCTAGGTCCTAGGGCTTTGTTAAAAAATTTGAATTCATAGACATAACCCCATACGTGAATCTGAAATTCTGGAGGTGGGGCCCCAGCAGTTAGCATTTTAGCAGATCCTCCCAGTAATTCTAAAGCAGGCCAACATATGAGAACCACACTTTATCATGTAACCATTCATTCTTTCCCTGGTTACATCTTCCCATAGGATACCTGTGTACCTTATTCAGCAGTCACTTCTTAATATAAAGAATGAGGCCAATTTGGAGTTGGACATAAACTGGATCCCAGATCTCCCTTAGGCAACATTCTTATCCTTCCGAAGTGGCTTCACTTTGCAGGATATTTCAGCTCCTCCTCCCCAGGGTCTAGCCTGCTTAAAAGTTCAACCTACCCTACATATCTTCTTCTTTTTCTCTACTCCCCTTCAGTCTTTTTAGGAATAACTAGACAGGGCGTAGGATCACAAAAAAATAAAAAGGATATGCATTCAATGAAATGCTGCATCTAATACAAAATATAATTATGAATAACATCTAATGCTGCCATCAGCTTTTTCTCTGAGGTTTATGATCTTTTAACTAAAGGAATAAAGTAAAAAGATTGTATGTAATATGTATTGTACTTATGAAGTGAATGTTGTCTTATACATAGGAAGCATAATTAATACAGTGTAGCCTATCATTTTCATGAATGCAAGCCTCAGATATTGCTCTTAAATGATTATTTCTTTTATCTATATAACAGCTTAATGAGTCAGCTCTTCTGCTAAACCTTTTCTCTTGCTACTATTTATAAGCTAAATTTGAGGTGACATGAAGGGGATAGCTGTAGGGACAAAATCTGAGATAATAAAAAGCTTGCAGTAGATTCAAAATGATAGAAACTGTAACAGTTTGGGAAGTTGAATTTTTCTTCTATTTTTGTGTCTTTAGTACCATCATAGTCATTTCTGATGAGCCATATTAGGTGAGCAACTGAGATTTTGATGCTCATTTATTTGAGGTAAACTTTTCTAATCACCAAGCACTTGTATATTAGAATAAATCATTTGTTTGTATTTTAGTGGCTTTAGAAGTTAACTAATCATGTAATTTATATAATAGTCAATAATTTACGTCCAGACCTTTTCTATTCTAGATCTGCTTGTGTTTCTACCAAATTAATATACTTTGTGTGCCACAGACATTTAATTATGTAATTGCCTGTTCCAGAATAAGAATGCATTCAACTTTTCATAAAAATCCTGCATGTATTCCCTTTTCCTGGGAACATAAAACTATTTAGATATAATTTAACATCTTTGGTAATTTAGAATTATATGGCCTTTAAGGGTCATGTTTTTTGACATGATAATTTCTGTAGACTCTTGTAGAAATGTAGGAGGTATAGGATACTTGACTATAACATTGATCCTACAGTATAGCCTAAATTAAAAGTTGTGTTTATGGTGGCCTTCACGGAGACCCTGAGTACTCTGAAATTGTATGCAGAATTTGAGGTGTATGTTCTAAGAGGGATTCCATTGATTAGATTAGTTTCTTCAACAGGTCTGAAGGAATCCTCAAAAGGCTAAGGAGACACCTAAGTGATTTTTTTTTTTAAATTCTCTGATAATACTCTGCTTTGGTATTTTTTTGGTGTGGTAGGGGAGGGGGCCGTGAACTTCTTTATAGATAAAATAAAGATAGAAGTGCCAATTAAATGAGGATTATATTAGTGATATTTGGCTTTTCTAAGTGTAACTATTAAATGAGAAGGAAAAATGATTAATGATATAAAAGGAATTTATTAGTGTTTTAATGATGAGGGTTTCTTTTTAAAGTTTTAAATTCTAATCTCTCAACCTAAATAACTTTCCCAGGAATATTTAGTGACATTCATTTGCTGGCTATGATGTACAGTGGAGAAATGTGTTACTGGGGATTGAAGCATTGTGCAGATCAACAGCCAGAAAACCATGAAATGGATACCGGTGTTTCTGGAGCAAGCTGCACTACACACAAAGAACTCTTGGATTTCCGAGAAGTAGGAGAAAAAATTTTGAAAAAGTATGTATCTGTGTGTGAAGGACCCCTGAAAGAACAAGAATGGAATACAACAAATGCAAAACAAATTTTAAACTTCTTTCAACATCGCTCTAACTAGTAAGTTCATCTAGTCCTTATCAAATAGAAAAACAAAAGACCAATGAAACGGAAGAGTCCTAGAAAAGAAGACATGTTGACACTGAATTTAAGAGCTTCACACTACACACTACAGAAAGATGTCCCAGCATGGTTACCTGTTTTTAAATGCCATCGCCATCTTTCATTATATATTCTTAAACCTGTGAAGGAACAATAATTTCTAAAATAGCATGTATGTTATTCTAACTCAGCCTGAACTACAGCTATCCTGTAACTAATACTAAGGAGGATTCCATTTTAGCTTTACAGAGATTTTTTTTTCTATTACTTCAGATTATTTTTTTTCACTGTGGTAAAATATACATAACATAAAGTTGACCATTTTAACTATTTTTAGAATTTTTTTTTTCAGTCTCCCTGTCTTGAAGTTTGCTATGCTTCAAAAGTTAAAATCAAGTCATCTCATTGCTTTGGAGATATGCTATGGATATAAAATTTGGCAAAATTATGAGTAATATTCAGATTCCATTTCCAGAATAAGATAATAAAAGACTTCACAAAAGAATTGTTGAATTATTTTACCATGTACTACTAATGGCATTTAAAATTTTTATTAGTCATTTTATAAAATTTTAAACATGATTTTTCTATCTTGTTTTAAAGAATATCATGGCTTATCAAATGCGTAATGAATATAAAAACCAAGTTAGGTTAAGTCCACCATTCGTCCATTGTTAGCTCATATATCTTTAAGGCATATCTTTTTATATGTATTGAAATTTAATTTCTTTTTCTCTTGTCTTTAATAGTAGGGATGAGTGATAAAGGTCAGAGAGCCTAACTTGCTATCTTGCTTACAGTCTTACTGTCTACCTCAACTCCTATTGTTATCTTGAGAAGATCTGATTCCTTGCTGATATTCTTGACTTTTGCGCCAGTGACTTCATCACATTCCTGGAACTTACTCCCATGGCCATACCTTAAATATCACCATCCTGAGTTTCTCTTTCTGAAATCTTAAATTTTAATAACTGATAATTCTCATCTTCCTAGCTTTTTCACGTCCTCATTTTTATTGAATTTTTCTCCTTTATTCTGCTCTCTTTCGCTTCTTCACAGCCACCTCCTCTTGACAGTTACCTTTTCTCCTAAACGATCAGCCCCTTTAAGATGTTCTCTCTTCCTTATCTAGCTTCAGCCTTATAGGGCACCAAATGAAATACTCTCTACACTCCCTTCAAATCTGACTTCCGCTTGTCCTTCAGCCTAATCATTCTGCAAGCCCTCAACATTGAATTACTGCTATCATCCACCTTTTCTGGATGCTAAGTTCCATGTGAAGTACATGCAGCCCTTCAAAGTGGAATTGCTATAAGCATTTCATCTTTAACGTTAGAGGCGCCCTCAATATAAACCTTTGGTTTGTTACTAATGTTGCCCCTTTCCCTTTTCTACTATGGCTAATCCAAACCACTAACTTTTCTCGTGACTTTGCTCAGGCCCTCTGTCCCCTCCCCCAACATATGGCCCTTGGTCCCATCTTACAGAAAATCAAGACTCTGAGGAGGTCAATTTCTATTTACCAGCCTTGCCCTACTCATTTTCTCCTTTTTTAGAGGAAAAGAGGCAGCCTGCTTACTCTTGAAGCCCAATCTCCACCTTTCCTCTCTGCCATCTTACTCGTTTCCCCTGGGGCTTCCCTCTTTCTAACCTACCCTTTAGGTAGCCTTCCCTAGAGCTTCCTCCTTTTTCTCTTCCCCCCTCCCCTTTTTCCTTCCCCTTTTCCACTTTTCTTTTTACTTTAAATGCTCTTCTTATGTGATGTCATTCATAGACATGGGCTGCTTCTGCCACCTATAATGTTAGGCTGGCTCCCAGACCTGTAACTTGAATCCCAGCTTCTCTCCTGTTCTCTAAACCTAATTCCTAATTGCCCATTAAATTATCTTCACTTAGACATCCCATAGTAATTTTAAATTCAGTATGTCCAAACCACCAACCCTCTTTTTTTCACCTAAAATCTTTTCCCTTTCACGTTTTCTCTTTGATCTTCCACAGAGCAGGGCAAGGCAGAGTGCTCTAACCTAGTTTCTGCCTACCTTCCCAGCCTCATCGCTGCAATTCATCCTGTGCGACCATGTTCTAGTCCATTGTTCCTCAGACGTTTAAAACCCAGGCTCCTTTCTGATAAGCATAAACATTCTGATAGAGCCTTTTGGGACAGTACAATCTCTTCCTATCTCTGCCCTCATCTCCTTGCTTATCCTTATACAGCTAAGAAGATTTTTATTTAACTTAGATTTTTAACAAGTTTTACGATGAAAATACCTTATGCTTTCTAAGTATAAAGATTTAAATCATTTTTAATGTGGTTTTTAGAACCATAGACCACCCCTCCCCTTCCCAATTTGGAGCGTCATGATCAAGTACTTCCAATTCTTGCCCAATGTGCTGTGTGGTTTTCCCCTCAATGTTCTTGCAGACTGCATTCCATCCACCTGGAATGCTTTGCCCTTCTATGTGGCCACGTGAATAGCTACTTATCCTTTAGGACTTAGCTCCCGTGATGGTTTATCCACATGGCTTTTTTCAGCCCTTTCCAGTCAAAAGTAGATGCTTTTTTGCTTCTGCTCCCTTAGTCTTGCCCTTCCATGTTATCGCAGTGATCACATTGCTTTATAGTTATTTTCCTTTTAAGTTGGTGAACTCTATTTTAAAATTTTTTCTTTATACGTAATGTTTAATGAATAGTAGGCCATTAGTAAAGCTTTTTGTTTTAAGAGACATGACTCTAAATGCTGAACTCGGCATAAAAAGGTGGCTGCTACTGGATTCCAAACTGCCATGCCCTCTACACCAGTGGTTGACAAGGCAGATGGGAAAATGACTCCTCAGAGGAGTCAAGTAGTATTTAGATTTGGAACCTGAGAAAACAAGAGAACTTTCTCTTCAAAAGTTAGGAACTTCTGTTTTGCCTTTATGACTATTGTAAACCACTTGGGTCTCTCACTGGTTGGTACAACTGTGAGAGTACTACTGGGTGCTTTTTGTACAACTTTCCCATTCTCCACACACTTGGAGAACACTTTGTAGGCCATAACAGTTATAATGCTTTTTACTCTAATGTATTACAAAACAATGAACAACACATTTTTGTATGTTTAAAGCCTATTGAGCAAATTCTGTTTCATTTAGAATGAAGTAACTTCAAGATACTAAATACTCCACATAAGTACTTAATTCACTCATGAACAACTTTTATGTGCCTACTACATGCCGGGTTTTGTCCTAGGCACTGAGGATACATAGCTTTGTGAAATACCCTCTTTCAGAATTTGTAATGCATTTTAAGAATAAATGTGTACAGCACGTTAAGTGCTGAGTGCTATAAAGAATACAGCAGACTAAGGGGCTAGTGTGACCCTGGAGAGGAGTGCTATTTTATTTAGGTTGATTGGGCAGGCACCTCTGAGCACCTATCTACTTTAGCACTTGTGGTTTTAAATCTTACCTGTTTGGTTAAATGCCTTGCACATTCAGTACATTTATAAAGTTTCTCTTATGTGAGTTCTGATACTGAATTGAGTGAGTCATCACATAGACCTTGTCATTTTTATCACATTTGAAGGGTTTCTCTCTAGTATGGGATTTACTAATATGTGAGTGAGAACCTAAAGGCCTGGGTGCATTTATTACACTTGGAGTTTCTCTCCTTTTTGAGTTCTCTGGTATTTACAAAAACTTAAACTCTGTTAAAGGATTTTTTTATAATCCTTCAATTTGTATGGTTCTTTTCCGGTATGAATTTTCAGATGTCAACTAGACTGAGGTTTAAAAGCCTGTCCCCTTTGCTGCATTTATAGGGTTTCTTGGCACTGAGTTGTTTGATGCTGATTAAGGTACAAATCATGACTAAAGACTTTCCCTTATTCCTTTGCATACAGGAGAGTGAGGTGGGAGTCATGGCTAAAATCCCACAATAAAATTATGTCCCTACCTTTACAACCCCACTGTGAATTCTCTGATGTTCATTTAAGTGGGAGCTGTGGCTAAAGGCATTCTCAGATTCATTTTATTGTCATTTAAAAAACCCCACAGCTGGTTGACATGTTAGTTTTAGATTGCTTATCACTTTTTTCTCTCCACCTTTCAGGGTTCCTTTTCTGATTCCCAGAAGGATACCCCATCTGCCACAGATTCCAGGATTCTGTAGTTCTTTAGTATTACTTCTTATATTATGTTTTAAACACAATATGAGATATTGTGTTTAATGTAAAATACATTTAATGTATCCACAATTAAAGTGTGCATTTTGTATTCATGCTGGTGTTCTTTGCTGTTTATTTTCCTACTTCTAGTCAAACTTCCAAATGTTATGGAGCAATTAAAAACAAAAAAAACCACATTCCCCTATTTGTATCTTGTTCTTTGTTTTCTTTTATATCTGGGTGTTGTGTCAGAAAGAAAACTTTTATCATCTCAGTTTACCATTGATGACTGAATATTATTTCTTCTGGTCCTAATAACTTTCTGACAGGGTAGCATGGTGGTTAGGAATATGGGCTCTGGAGCCAGAAGCCTAAGGCTAAATCCTAGCCCTGTCGTTTCCTAGCTGTGTGACTCGACATAAAATACTTAGCCTTTTTGTGCCTTAATATTTTAACACAGGAATAATAGTGCCTACCTAACAGGTCATTGAACAGTTAATGAGTTAATGTTCAAAGTACTTAGTTCAATGTCTAGCACATGGTAAGAGCTCAAAAGAGTTAATATTTTCCCTAATGTCTAGTTCAGTGTATCAGCATAATTTGTTCATCATGCTGAGAAATATAATACTCACGAGCTAGAAAAATAGAGTGACAAACTCTTGCTCTGGCCAGTGAGCAGTCACTCACTGTCCTGTCCCCAGGTCAAGTGGTGCTGGCCATTCTAAAAGGAAGCAGGTTTCAGAGAAGAAATCATGGGCTACATGGGAATCTCAAATGTTTGTTACAGGTATGGCCAGAAGAAAGCCTACATTTTTCAGAAAATTTTCAGGCCTAGTCTCCCATGTATATACCCTCTGTATACCAACTTCTACATTTACCAATCAGCTGGATTGACTTTGCTTCTGGTACCATTTGGTCTCGCTCTTATCAGATGTATTTATTGAAATATTAGTGATCTAAATATAATATATACCCTATTTTAAAATAGATTAAACCATGGTAAATCCACACGATTGAGTAGTGTGTAGGTGTAAAAAGCAAAGGGGAGTATTTCTGTAAAATACTATGGGGTGGTCTCACTAAGTGAAAAACAAGGTGGAGATGGTGTATAGTACAGTTTAAAAAAGAATGAATGTATGTATAACCTTGTTGCTTATATTTTTAAAGACCCCCAAACCTTTTTAAAGTTACCTATGGTGGGATGGGAGGTGGGGGGGAAAGAAACCAGTTGGAGGGCACTAGGATGAAAGCTAGACTTTTCCAAATATACCTTGAATTTTGTACATTTTACTTTGGAACCATGTACTGCATTTTTATAAAGAAAAATTACATCAAAATTAAAAGCAACACCTCAAAATCGAAAGCAAAATGAAACAAATGAGCTGCTTTGTGTATCAAATAACTTTTCTGGGCATCTGTAGTGGGATATCCCCAAGGGCAAAATGAGCTGGAAACAAATCAAACTCCTCAATAATTATATCGTTAATTATGCTAATGTAATTAGAAATGAGAATTTTCCACGTGAGAGAAGAGAGATACTGATATGAAATCAAAGAAGATAAGTAAATGTTCTGTGATTCTAAATTTGGGAAATAATAGTATGAACTCCTATTTTCTCGTATAAAGACCACTAAACAATGTCCAAATATAATTTCCCATTAAAATAACCCAGGGATCCCTGGAGAGAAAGCTGATTCTGGATCTTGGGCAAGGCAATTAAAGGGTTGATGAGGGACAATTTTTCTTTAATTCATCTAATAAAAGGAATGATAAAGTTATAACATTTTGCAACTTGTAAACAAATAATCATTGTTAACTGCTAAATCCTTGAGGTGAAAAGCTTATGGGAAATTAGATAATGAATGGATCAGGCTTTTGAAACCACTGTTCAGTCTGAACATTAAGAATGACCTGTGGCTCCCAATCCAAGTACACACGAAATATTTTACAAAACCAACCTAAATTTGATCAAGCCTGGGGCAGAGGAATGTGTTAAAGACACCATTGGAATGCCATGAAGAAAGTCTGGAAAGACTTGACAAATTGCAAGGGAAAAGATTTCTTGGACAAATTGCAAGGAAAAATAAAGGAGGGGAGCCAATAGAATGAAAAAGTTTTATTAATATATCAACCAAATGCAACGTGGATCATCTTTGGGTCATGATTCAAACAAGCCAAATGTAAAAAAAAAAAAAAAAATTCAAGGCAGATGGGGAAGTTATTCACTGACCTGATATTTGGTGATTTTAAAGAAAGTTGTTTAGGTTTGATAACTGGCACAAAGCTTAACGTTTCTTAAAAGTTACCTTATTTTTTAGAGACATACTGAGATATTTAGGGATGAAATGATATGTCTGGTAGTTGCTTAAAAATAATCCAGATTTGGGGATGTATGTATTAGGTGGAGATAGTGATGGAGCAAGATTGGCCATGTGTTGCTGTTTACTCTTTTCCAGTGGTTACATGGGATTTTATTATGCACTTTCATATATATAGTCAAATTTTTTCATAATAAAAAATTATTCTAACCCATTCATTTACAAATATTCACGTTTCTTTGCAAGAGAGCCAAGAACCATTTCACTACTTCATACTTGAACTGTTATTTTTTTTCTTGTGCTAGTTCTTTCTTGCTCCTAGAGAGGGAGGAGAAATGCCAAATGGTTAATCATTCCATGGTTCTTTTTCTTCTCCAGATAGCCTCACAGAACTAAGCATGCAATTGGATTGGTTATTGGCTTTTGGCAGTGGCATGCAAGACAAGTAATGAAACTTTAAATTCAGATCTCACAGAACCTGTTATTGGGCTTTGTTGGATTTCTGTTATTTTGCATTTAGATCCCCAGATATATATGGAGAGAGGTAGAGGTGAACATATATTATGTTAAATATGTTATATATTTAAATATTTGTATATATAAACACAGTTTATGTATATGTTCCTTATAGCCTATCATGATCCTTAAGGAAGTTAATAGTTTTACAAAGATACTGATCCAGTCTTAGATTATGAAGACTGTAACAAATGGAACTAATTTTTAACCAGTGACTTGGGTTACATGTGAGAGAATATTTTGACAATTGAATAATAAAACAATGGTGGACAGAGGTGAAATTTAGAATTCTCATATTTGAATATTTTCACAAAGAATGGAAAATTACATGTCCTGGATATTGTAAGCAATTACTGATTGACAATGACTTGAAACCAGATTATGTAGAGACCTCTGTAACTATTACTATGTCCATTCTTAAGAATGGAGCTTTAGGGCCGGCAGTGTGTGTTGGTTAGGAGTTGGCTTGGGATGCCACCTCTGAGCAGCAGGGCCCCGGTTCAGATCCCACATGAGGGCCAGAGACGCTGCGCCCTCTACAGCGAAGATGGTGAACAACAGCTTGACCTGGAGCTGGGCTGCTGTGAGTCACCGGTGATGGCGTAGGCTGCAGTGGAGCTGCAGTGGGCTGCGGTAAGCTACCATGAGTGGCTGGCAGCCGGCATGAGCTGCCATGAGCCACCATGAGCAGCCATCCAGGGGCCAGGGGCCAGGGGCCAGCGACCGATCTGCCTCGCCGGGGAAAAGTGCAATGATAACACCAACATGGACCAGTGAAGCGACGTCCTCCACAACTAGACTGAAGAACAAAAGGACAGCACCTTGTCTGTTCCCCTTCCCCAATTCCCCAATAAAATCTTTTAAAAAGAATGGAACTTTAAAATCACTGCGTTGTTTTTTTTAATCACATGGTATAACAGATAATGCTGTCTTGTTCTTTATTGAATAATCCTAAAGATTTTAAATTCTATGCTATTTATAACATTAGATTGAAGTGTCTCTTTAAGGAGCAAAGATCTGGTTTTTGAGCAATGTTCTTTGGATTAGATTAAGTGAGATAATCTATTTGAAAATGACTGACACATAGTACTAAATAAGCATTTGTGTCTTTCTACCAATAGAGACCGTACCCATTTCAATAATAATAGATAACTTTGTTATGTGGGCTACGGCATGGTTTCTTAAAGCCCTTTTAAAGTAAGGCTAGACAAAGGGAATAAAATGGACACGTTTTGAGAGATAAAAATCTCACTAGTGGGATTTCAACAGTACAGTATCTTGTTTCTCTTATTATGTTAGCATATTTGGCTGCCCTTTTATGAGATACATACGTTCAGCAATTTTAAAAATGTACTTATACTTTTATATAGTGGAAATTCTCATTTTGGCATAAGGTTCTTTATGATTGTGCTTCTGATGTCCTCTCTAGCCTCAATTTTTGTTACTCAAGAAAACAAATGGTAAATTGGAAACCAACCAACCAAAAAAACCCCAAAAAAAACATACCTATCCTAGCATGGCTGTGCTGAGAAGGAAGTACTAATTGGTTATTAAAGCAACGACAGTAAAAGGCCCATCTATTAAACACGTAGGAGTTGCCGAGGCCCAGACAGCGGGCAAATCTTGGGTGAAGAAACGACGTTATAAAGGAGCAAGAGATTTCACGCCCACGGGCGAGGTCAGCGTGGAGAGGCCGAGGCCCGCGGTGCAGAGGCAGGGCCTGCGGCCCGAGCGTCCGGCGCAGCTCTGCACCGCGCCCGGCGGGGCCTCCGCTCCTCAGTCCTCCCCGGCTCTGAGGGCGGACCCGCTGCAACAGGCCGCCCCGCCCGGCAGGCCGGAGGCGGGCGGCGGGCGCGTCGGCGTGACCTTGCGGCGGTGCGCGCGCGGCGCCGGCGGCCATGGCGGGAAGCGAGCCGCGCAGCGGAGGCGGCTCCCCTCAGCCCCACCACAGCGACTGGGGCCGCTTGGAGGCGGCCATCCTCAGCGGCTGGAGGAGCTTCTGGCAGTCGGTGGGCAAGGAGCGGACGGCGCCGAGCGCCCCGCGAGAGGAGGCGGATGTGGAGGCGGACGAGGAGACGAGCGCCCTGACGCGGCTGCCGGTGAGCGGCGGCCGCCGGCCGCGGAGGACCGAGGGGCCGGGCCGGGTGGGGTTCGTCGTCAGGGCGACCTCTAGGGATCTGGGGACCTCCCAGCGCCCCGGTCTGGGTCTGGCCTCTTCCCTGCAGCCCTTCCGGGCAATGTCATCACCTGGGAGCCACTGTTGACCAGAAACGCCCTGGCGTTGAGTCCTGTGCTCCGCGGCGGGGCCGAAGGTCTCAGCGAAACTCACCTTCAGGGGGCTCCCTGATAACAAGCCCTCAGGTTGTCAACCCCCAGGCAGGTCTCGGGACTAGGACACCCTGAACGTCAGGTTGAGGAGACACGGAGACCATTCCCGACTTTCTGGTTAGCCCGGGGAAGCATCCCGTGTTCCCAGCGTCTTGCATCCACAGCTCCGCGTCCGGAAACTCCCCTGAGGATACATAGTGCGGCTCTTACCTTAGCAGATACTTGAAGTAACAGGACTGCCACTCATTTGAAAATAAATGACGAAGTGACAGGTGTCTCGAGTTACAACAGGCCACAAGAATCATACACATCGTGTATTGTTAAACATTTCAGATAGATTGGAAAAATGGAGAGAGAAGTTCTGAGAAATGATTGAAGTTAGTGTCTCACCTGGACTACTGACAGCTCCCCCTGACTTCGTCAGAAATGGAGAACTGCGGGCTTCGAATGCCTCCGCGGGTCTCCCCTTTGCAGAGCTCCTTGGAAATAATTTAATAGATTTTATAGAGGAACTCAGATGATAAAAGTGTTCTTTGATCCAATGATAGAATCAGCAGTTTATCTGCTTGATAAAGGTTTTATGTTGAAGAATAAGTTATTTCCTTAAGTAATTTACTCAGATGGTGTGGAAAAAGATCGAGAAGGAACTGAACTCATTATTTTGCTTGAAAATATCAGAACAATGGTTGGTGTTTCAGGAATGTTTCAGTGTTTCAGAAGTTAAGCGTTCAGTTATGATTCTCTCCTGATGGTAGGAAAATAACTTCTGAATGTTATATTTAATTATGAAAAATACTGGCTGTTAAGTTGATCTAATGTTAATTTTGTAATTTATCATGATAGATTTAAATAACAAGACAGACTGCTCAGTTGACCTTTGGCTCCCTGGTATAATAATAATTGTTTTTTGTAATTTATTGTCAAAAAATTTCCCAAGATTAATTTCCAAATTATTCATCTCTCTTACCTCCTTGCTTTCCTCTGTTTCAGATTGACGTACAGCTGTATATTTTGTCATTTCTTTCACCTCATGATCTGTGTCATTTGGGAAGTACAAGTCGTTATTGGAATGAAACTGTACGAGATCCAATTCTGTGGAGATATTTTCTGTTGCGGGATCTTCCTTCTTGGTCTTCTGTTGACTGGAAATCTCTCCCTGATCTAGAAATCTTAAAAAAGCCTATGTCTGAGGTCACTGACGGTACATTTTTTGACTACATGGCAGTGTAAGTATCTAGTTTTGTGAATTAAAGAGAAGATATTTAATTTAGCTGTATTACAAGGCCATAGTCCTGCTACTAATTTGTTTCATACGTTTTGGGTTTAAGTGTCCTTTTGTAAAAATTGAGGGTTAAGTTAAATTACTTCCTCCATGGAACCCTTTCCACTTTCACATTTTGTTATTGTCCTGTGATGCTTGACTAGAGTATTTTAATATTATAGATAGTTTCATATGGCAAGAAGCGAAACTCTTCTTAAAAATTTCATTATCCTTAGAACACTTTTTGTTTTGTTAAATAGTAAATACTTTTCCATATCCAGAAAAGGAATGGCCAGAGATCAGAGAGCAGTTCTTTGGCAGGAAAGAAAACCATTCTCAAGCTTCTGGGAAATAAGATTTTTGTTACTACACAAACCATTAATATTTTCAAATATCACGTGGGTGAGATAATGTTATTGAGCAACTAGATTCTATGAGGGTTGCGTTATGTATATTTATTTAATCCTCACCCAATAAGGAGGTATTATTCATGTGTTGTGGATATGGAATTGAGGTTCAGAGTAGTTGTGGGCTTGCCTAAGGTCTTATAGCTTGTAGGGGCTATTCAGGTCGGAACCCCATCATGATACCTTAAAAATATAATGTCTTTGAATCTGGATATAACCCTCTTTACTGAAAGTCCCAAATTTAAGGCATTGTAAATACAATTAAAAGAATATTTGTGCTTTAGTTAAGAATTGTTTTTGCTGTGCTAGATTTAGTAACTACATACAGGATTTTTCCACATATTTTATTTAAGTTATTCAGGATATTTCCTTATGCTACTCCAGGTGGCATTACACCAATTCTTGTGAGACTGCTTGATTAAAATGCATGTTATATGTTGTTACATATAATTTCAACAGGTGCTATGTTACTCTCATTTGCTGGGCATTACTTGTACATTCTCACACAACCAACCATAGCATCCAAGCATATCTGATGCTCTGGAACCACATTTTCCCCAGGGATAGTAATAATTACAGTAAATAACTACCTTTGTGATCTTACAAATTATTTCTGATCCTCACAACATTGGATTGATTGTATTGCTCAAATAATGCACTCGAAAAAACTGAAGCTTACACTATAAATGACTTATATAAATAGAGTGGTGAGGCTTGGCCAGATCTACCTAGCTTCAAAATTGTTTTTTTTAACTCCCTTCTTGAATTAACAGGGTTTCTAAATAAAGATGATTGTCTTGTTAAGCTAGTAATTGTCTTAACCATGTTGATTTAGTTAAAGGCCTTCAGGTTTTATTTTGACTTGGGTAACTTTTAATTTTTGATAATATGTAAAATTGCTAGTTTAGAAATTTATAGCTATTGAAAGGAATTGAGTTGTTTATTTTACATGATTCTTAATTTGCTAGGTTATCTGTAAGGACTGTTTGAGCCTCCCTGCATATGTAACACTTGCTGAATTGTTACATTTGAGACTGTTAATAGGAGTACCTAAGAAATTTGGCTGTATCGGTTGCCTGAGTAAATTTTTTTTGTTTGATCTCTAGGGACTTATGCCAACTATCTGTGTAGTTTATCTTTAGTGCAGTGTTTCTCAATCTTGGCACTACTGACATTTTGGACCAGATAGTATGGGAACTGTCCTGTTCATTGTAGGATGTTTTGTAGCATTCCTGGCCTCTCCTTACTAGATGTCAGTAGCACTGCCCCACTACCCCCCTATTGTGATGTCTCCAGACATTGCCAAATATTCCTGGGGTGAGGAAATACTTAAAAAGGTAATGGCAGGTGTGGGAAGCAATCTCCCCAGGTTGAGAATCACTACTCTGCATAGTGAATTTTAACCACTGAAACAAGTGTCAGACCCAGTGTTCCAAGAGAGAATCTAAATGAAAGATTATAAAGTAAGTAACCACTTCCATGGAAGACTTTCTTAGATATTAGACCGCTACTACTCCCATAGCACCTTCTTTTTTTTCTTGTCATGGCGCTTGGCATACGTTATAATGATGTCTGTTCTCCACTGCCCTCCTTGAAAATTGGGACTATATAATCATTGTATCCCTTGTGTCTAGCAAATTCTCAGTAAATTATAGTTGAGTGAATAATGGACTTAGTAAGTTTTTTCTGTGTTAATTTTCTAATTGCAACAATTTTATGCAGCTATAAAATGTGCTGTCCAAATACCAGAAGATCCTCGAAATCTAGCCGTCCTATGTATGGAGCTGTCACCTCATTTTTACACTCGTTGATCATTCAGAATGAACCACGATTTGCTATGTTTGGACCAGGTTTGGAAGAACTGAATACATCTTTGGTGTTGAGTTTGATGTCTTCTGAGGAACTTTGCCCAACAGCTGGTTTGCCTCAGAGGCAGATTGATGGTAATTTTTATGTTAATCTACAGTACATAATAATTCAACACTTTGAGTTTGACACTAATGTTAAATAGAAAGAAAGTCATTTTTTAATTAACTCATATAATGAAATTCAGTGATTTGGTGAATGGGAGCCCCCCAATTCCCAATGGACTGAAACAATTAATTTATTTTTTATGAGGTAAGCTTCCTTTTATTTCCTCAAGTTTGTGTAATACAGAATATAAGATTATGTGAAAGTAAGTTATATGTTGCCATGATGTTGTATTTGTACAGTATTTACCATATTTTAAAAGAATGTTAACAGCAAAAACCATTCAGTATCTACTATGTGCAAAGTATTTTCATATACTGTATATTGAAATTTCAGAAAAGCTAAATTATCACCTTACCCTTCTTTCTATGAAAAGAAACGAATACCCATGTAGCTAGTTGTTAAGCAGGATATATAATAAATATAAATAACAGTATAATCTGGCTTATACTTATTAATTTATTTAGAGCACCTATTAGATTCTAGAGATACAGGGATTTAAAACAAGCAACATAAAAAATCTTTGTCTGCCCTGAAGATACTTGGTCTAGGTGAGGGCAGAGACAAGTGTACAGGTGATTAGAATATGACATAATTAGCTCCTGGTTAAAAAGGTAAGGGTCAGAGAAGAGTCATTAGGATGAGTAGGAGTAGGTATTCTAGGCACTGAGAACTACATATCTAAAAGCACAAAGCTCCGTGTGCATGACACATTTGAAGTAACTGTGTGTCTATAGTGGTGGGTGAGAAGACACTTGTGTGCCATGCTTGCGCCTTCAGAAGCTCTCAAAGGGTTTTAAACTGAGGAGTGAGATGATCAAGATTGCATTTTAGAAAGATCATTCTGGCTCTTGAGTGGGAAATTGATTAGAAGGGTCTATAAAGACATGGAGACCCATTAAGAAACCACTATAATATTGTGACAAAAAATTAGGGATATAGAATTAGCAGTAATGAGGATAACTCCAGGTTTGTGGTGTGGTTTTCATATTGGATAATAGTGCCATTCGCTAGGATAAGGAAACACAGGAGGAGGGATCTGTATAGGGAGAATGGCAGCCACTCTTTGGAATATGTTGACTTTGATAATGCTGAGAGATACAAGTAAAGATGCCTGCTGTAAGCAATCCCCTTGAATGGAAGGTCCATTAGGGTAGGAATCTTGTCAGCTTTATCCTTAGCTGTATCTGAGGTGCCACGCACATAGTAGGCACTCCATATGTATTTGACAAATGAATGAGCAAATGACTTTATGGATTACTTTATGCATCCAGATCTCAAGAGCAAGATCTGGGCTAGAAATCAAGATTTAGGAAGCATAGCGTCCACATGGACTTAGAACTTTCTGAGATGCTGAAATCTTTGGAGGAAGGGATTATCAAAGGGAGATTTATAAATGACAAGATTAAGGAAGTGGAGATGGTCCTATATCTGAATGGTGTGTGTGTCTCAAAGAGATGTAGTTGGTGAATAGTGGTTAAGACATACCACTGGGGAGTAAAGAGAACATTTACCTTACCTCTTTACCTTGAGATGTGAAAGAGTAAGCAACCTTGTTACTTGAAAGTCAACTGCAAGAGAAGCAGTACGTAGGGCAAGCCAATTTCAGGTAAGGCCATGAGGTGGAAGGAACGCTTGAAGAAGAGATTGGGGATATGGGGAAACTTGCTGATTATGAAATGGCGATTTCATTTTCCAAACAGCTGCACTGATTGTTTGAAAATGCCAGTGTAATTACGCCTCAAACCCTGCAAGATCAGGGAGGAATAGAGGGATGGGTTCTTGGCAAGGTAGTACAGACAGCATGGCGAGCATACTGGGTTAAGGTTAGATGTGTTGAGAAGGTAATCTCTGGAAGTTAAACCGATGAAAACAAGGATCACGGTAGAATTTATTTCTGTGATCTCTTTTGGGGGGTGGGAGGGTTATGCACCAGACCTTGTGGCCGGAGGACTCAGGTCACTTGATCTGATATGCTGGCATTACGAGCCACCAAGATCTCTGTAAATGTGTTGCCCGGAATGGTGACATAAGATGGCATGGCTTCCTTGAACAACTGTATTGGCTATAATGCAGGGATTAGGATATGAAAGATAGAGTTGTCCTAATGAGGTAAGTAGGGGCAGATTATATTAACGTTTTGTTTATCTGAAGAACAGTGGCTTTGAAAAAAAGAGACATAAATAGGCATTTTTAATGAATCTCCAGTTGCTGTCAGAAGAATGATAGTAGGGGGCAAAAGTGGATGTAGAAACTGGTTTGAAGTGATTGCAGGAGTTCAGGTGAGAGATGATGACTAAAAGATGGGAGTGAGAATGGAGAGAAGTGGAGCGATCTAAGAGGACTTTTATCTATCAAAAAGAAGTAGAGCCATGGAAGAAGAGAAGGACCTTTCTGAGACGCAAGAGGAGAATCAGCCCCTGAGTGTTAACACAGCCAAATGAAAGAAGAGGTTTAGGGAAAAGGACAACTAACAATGTTGAAAGATTCTGATACAAAATAGTAAGAAGCTAGTACTATTTAGCACCTATTTACCCATCACTTTAGTAGGAATTTTATGTATGTAATCTCTTTTAATGCTTACAATAATCCTAAGAAGTGTATATTCTATATTTTGATGACAAAACTGAGGCCCACAAAAACATGGCTATATGTGACAAATTCAAGATTCTAACCCATCTAATTCCAAATTTTGATACCAGCCATATTTCCTCGATGTTCTAAATTGCCATTTGGTGACTCCCCATCAATTTAAAAACACTTTCAGAGGGGTAAAAAAGTCATTTCTTTGGATGTTTACATGAAGTACAAGACTAATGAGATACATGAAAATATTAAAATGAGTCTTAATCCTGAGGATAAATAATAGTAGCTGTTATGACACAGCTGCTATGTATATGATGATAAAGTTAATGATGATAGTGATGATAGGAAAATGAATGTTATAAGCTTAGCAGTTCTTTGTTCTTTGTATTTTTGTTTCTAATGTGAATGAAAATTGCAAACAGCATCTTTTTTTCAACACAGACATTTCATTCTAAAACTATATAACTTGTCAGAATTTTTTGTTTGCTCTTGCTTACACTGGGTAATTTTTTTTCAATTTGATCTTTTGCTGTCTTTATTAACGACTTGTTTTGATAACTGTAATTTTCTCCTTTAGGTATTGGATCAGGAGTCAATTTTCAGTTGAGCAATCAACATAAATTCAACATCCTTATATTATATTCAACTACCAGGTAAGGCTACCTATGTGGTGACTTACCTGAGACATCATCACTGGAATATTTTAGGAGGATGGAACCTGTTAGGTGTCTGTTTATGTTTTACATTTATATTTCTCTTGTAGAAAGGAAAGAGACAGAGCAAGAGAAGAGCATACAAGTGCAGTTAACAAGATGTTCAGTCTACAGAATGAAGGGGATGTTCAACTAGGAACCCGGTACAGTGTAATTCCACAAATTCGGAAGGTGTGTGAAGTTGTTGATGGGTTCATCTATGTTGCAAATGCTGAAGCTCATAAAAGTAAGCGTTATCTTATTTTCTTTTTAAAGGCACTTTGCAAAGCAAAGGAGAATGTTTTTATGCTTTATCGTGGCTTCTTAAGAATATGCTGGTTAGTTTTATCAATGTGATTCTATATGGCCATTCCTGTTAATAGTGGGTTCATAAACCTTGATGTGCATTAGGATCACCTGGGGAGCTTGTTAAAAACAGCTGCCTGATTCCTATCCTGGTGGATTATGATTCATATATTAGGATTGTGTCTTGGGCATCTATTTTTTTAACAAGCACCTACAGAATTCTGATGCATACCAAAATATTAATAAATACTATAACTACATGGTATTTTTTTGTTGTATGCTTCTGCAGTTTTTGTTATTGCTGTTTTGTCTGCTTCTAGCCATATTCAAATAATTTATGCAGATAACTGAAAATTTTTACCATTGTTTTCATTATCCAGATAGTAGAGACAAAAAAAAATCAAAATGAAATGACCATTGTCAAGAGATAGAGCCGTCAATAGAACCAGACCCAGAGATCACCTGGATGTTGGCACTCTCAGAAAGAAACAATAAAATAACTATGATAATAAAAGATCTAGTGGAAAAGGTGGACAATATGTGTGAACAGATAGGGATTTTCATCAGAGAGAAGCTATAAAAGAATAAAATGGGAATGCTAAATATGAAAACTATGATAGCAGGTGAACAGTTCCTTCAGTGGACTTATCAACAAAGGAAACTTTCAGTGTACCTGAAGATAGATAAGTTGAAATTATCCAAATTAAAACACAAAGAGGAAAAAGAGTAGGAGTGGGGAACAGAGTCTCCAAGAGCTGGGGGAACCTATCAAGTGATCTCACTCAGGGGTCAGCAAACTTTTTCTTAAAGGGCCAGATAGTAAGTATTTTAGACATATGAGCCATGTGATCTCTCAGAGTTACTCAGCTCTGCTGTTACAGTGCTAAAGTAGCCATAGACAATTTGTAAATCAATGTGAGCATTGGTGTTTCCCAAAAACTTTTAGTTATAAAAACAGATCTGCAGAATGTAGTATGTTAACCCCTGGTCTAACTTATGTGTATAATTGGAGTCCCAAAATAAGGGAGTAAGAATAGGGGGGAAAAAATTTTGAACAGATAATGACCAAAATTATTTTAAAATTACTAAAAGACAACAAGTCACAGATCCAAGATCCTCAGAGAACTCCAAACCTGATAAATAAAAACACGTCTGGATACATCGTAGCCAAACTGATGAAAACCAAAGATAAAGAGAATATCTTGAAGACAGCCAAAGCAAAAGGAAATATACATATGGAGGGCCAAAGATAAGGACAGAAACTTCTTGACAGAATTGCTGTAAGCTAGAAGGCAATGAAGGGAAATCTTGGCAATATTGCAAAGAGGTGAAAATCTTATATCCATTAAAGAAATCTATCAAAAATGAAGGCAAACAAAACCCGAGAAAATTCATTTTCAGCAGATTTGTGCTGGAAGAAATATTAAAGTAAAGCTCTTCAGGACAATATGACACCAGTCGGAATATTGCACCTACAAAAAAATGAGCTCTGGGGTGGAAACAAATAGCTATATATAAAAGATTTTTTTTTCTAATTTTAATTTTCTTGTAATTATATGAAGGAACATAGTACCTACCAATATATTGTGGGCATATGATAATTTTAAGTAAAACATGATAATACACAACATGAAAGGTAAGAAATGGAAATATAGTCTTATAAATAAGGTTCTTCTATATGTGATGATGTATAATACTATTTAAATGTAGACTGGTATAAGTTTAAAATGTACGAGTACATTGTATCCTTGAGCAACCAGTAAAAAAAGTGTAACAGGTGTAATTAAATAAGTAGTGAAGATAAAATGGAATCATTACAAACTTCAAAAGAAGGCAGGAAAAGAGAAAAAAATAATGAATAGAGGAACAAGTCAAAATACAAGAGTCATATGGTAGATTTAAATGTACTGTGTTGATAATTACATGAAATGTTTGTGTTCTATTAGCATATAACAGATCATCTCCAAAGCAGTGGCTTGAAACACCTATTTATTAGCTCACAGTTCTTTGTGTCAGAAGTCTAATCATGGCGTGGTTTGGTTCTCAGCTTAGGGTCTTGTAGACTGAAATTAGGGTATCAGATGGGTTGCATCCGTTTTTGGAGTCTCTGGGGGGAAATCTGCTTCCTAGCGCACACAAGTTATTTATTGGCTGAATTCAGTTGCTTAATGTTGTAGGACTCAGGTCCCTGTTTCCTTGCTAGCCTCTAGCTGGGGGCTGCTCTCAGCTTCTAGAGGCCATCTTCATTCCTCATCATGTGACTCCCTCTGTCTTGAAATACAATGGAGAATCTCGCTCACAAGGGAGGAGAACCTTATCCCTTTTAAGGGCTCACCTGATTAGATCAGGCTCACTGAAGACAATCTCCCTTTCTTCAAGTCAACTGTGTTTTATAATAATACAGCCTAATTACACCATTGATATTCCATCATATTTGCAGATTCCTCCCACACTCAAGGGGAAGGGCTTTCAAGGGTGTGAGTCATTGGAGGAGATATTTTAGAGTTCTGCATACCACAAAATGTCAGTGATTGACACACTACAGTGAAAGGCAAAGATTGTCAGTTTGCAGAAAAAAGCTAGACCCAATTATATGTTTAAATTTTTGAAATTAAGGCCTTTGAAATAAAGGGTAGTGATAGCTACAGAAATGTGAGAGGAAAATATATTGAAGTATTTTTGCTTTTAAACTCTAGAGGCATCTGAATGGTACTGTGATTTGTTTTCCCCCTCTGATTTCACCTAAATTCCTATCCTTGTAAGGCTACTTATTGTAATTTTATAACAGATCGGTAAATGAACAAAGCAATAAATGCGGTTTGTTATGTTTGGATCCTGGTAATATTTTGGTTTCCTTATTTTGTTAGTTTTTAATTTTATTATTTTAAAAGTCATTACAAGTAATGCACATTAAGAGTTTTGACTATTCCTTAGGACATCAATGGCAAGATGAATATTTTCGTATTATGGCAATGACAGATCCAGCCTTTGGATCTTCAGGAAGACCAGTGCTGGTTTTATCTTGTATTTCTCAAGCGAATGTAAAAAGAATGCCTTGTTTTTATTTGGCCCATGAGCTGCAGCTGAATGATCTCAACCAACCATGGATGGTAAGATCCTTTCATCTCTGGTGAGAAAATTCTTGTGAATGTTTCATTCTATTTTGTATTTGATTTTATTTTTTCCTACTCATTCCCTTTAATAAAGTAGCATTGTAAAGTCAGTTTTAATAGCTTAATTGGTGTGAGATATTTGAATGATGTCAGTAAGTCTCAGCTGATCATTTACTCCCTACTTGCCTTTCCTGTTCATGGATGCAGTGAGATAATAATTTGGGATTGTTTATTTTAGATGCCACTATCATGTGTTTTTTTTTCCATGGCTTTAAGGGCCATCAAAAATATAGATTCCATCTTATAGTTTCTTGCCCTCCAAATTTTCTTTAAACATGGAATCTTTTCATCAAATGAAACCTTACATGAAAGCCCCTAGGTAAAATAAAGAAAAAATAATATTGGAAATACTTTTGCTGAAAAAAATTAGAGGATTTTCTTCCTTCTTTCCCTTCTCTCTTCCATGGAGTCTGGAACACAGTTTGAAAGCTACCAATAAAGCTGTGCCTTCCTGAGTGGTGGGAGTTTTAGCTTACCATAGGAGAAAGGGCAGGCTTAAAGACACAGTTTTGCATCATATTTGTCAGCTGACTACCTAGGTTCATTCAAAACTCTTTTCTTTCTTTTTCTTTTTTTTTTTTTAGCTGAGCCATCCTGCCACCTGTTGGCAACTCAGCGGCTGCTCAGCTCGGGCCGGGACTTGAACCGCTGTTGCTCAGAGCTCAAACTCAAGTGAGCTCTTAACCAACTGAGCCACTCAGCCGGCCCCAACTCTTTTCTTTTTCAAAGTTGATCTTTTGGAGGAATTTCTTTTTTCCTCATTCATACAAACAAGTCATGGAAACTGATCTACCCATGTTCCAAGATAACTAATAAGCTTCATGTTGGTAATCATGACAACATAAGAGATCTTATTTTTTATTTAAGCTCTCTAGAATACAAAACTTGAGTGACTCATCTAATGCTTACTGGGATTGTTTTAGTTTTTTGTTTGTTTGTTTGTTTTTTTAGTGTCTACAAAAATGTCCCTCATAATCATAAGATTTGGACTTTGTTTCCTACTGATAATGGTCTCTCTCATCTGCTCATAGGTCCAGGATACAGAAGCTGAAACTCTGACTGGTTTTTTGAATGGCATTCAGTGGATTCTTGAAGAAGTAGAATCCAAGCATGCAAGATGATTGTTTTAGACTTTGGGAACTGAAACCATTTGACACTTGTTATAAAGGTCATGATGATGTGGATATTTGCTCAATCAGCTCATTTTGTCCTGCCTTTTTGCAGGTAGGCTTTATATTGGAAAGCTGTAGCTTCTGTGTTTTTAATATGATTTTTGCTTTTTTCCTTAAATCAATTACAAGAAAAAAGTTTCAATGCTAGTATTTAGCCCCAAAATGAACCTTTTAAGATTTTTTTGATAATTTTTATATTTTCTGTTTCTTTTTAAAAATATTAAAGTCTGTATAAAACAAGTTTGTGACTCTCGTTATTTGTGGTTTCTGTTCTTTTCAGTTCAAAGATTGCCCTAGTGGGGAATAGCAAATTCACTAAGCTTTCTATAAGTTCTTTTCAAGGGTCCTTAAATGGTTATCAGAAAAGAAGTTTTTATCTATTTTTAATAAATATACTGATAGACTAGAATATTCTGGAATAGAATTTAATATTATGGCCATAGTTTCTGTTTATTTCTGAAACAGTAGAAATTAAATTTATATCATATTTAATACTAATTCAGTGAAAATAGCTTTTCCTGGAAGTTCTTAATATTTTCAAATATTGGGTTGTTGGAAAAGCCATGACGCAT